GCATTTGCCGATGCAGCCGCCTTTGGCTTCGCTGCAGGCTTGCCCTTTGGACCCTCGTGAAGAAACGGACATGATTCCCCCCTGTTGCATGTGCCCTTTGGCCAGAAGAGACAAGGAACTGTTGCCTTGGGACTATCCTTTGGATTTGCCTTAGGCTTGTCTTGTGAGTCCTTCTTACCTTCACCTTTGCCTTTTCCTTTCTTGTCACCAGCCTTTGGCTGCTGTCCACCTTTACCACCCGAATCTGTTGGAACCTCGGCCTTTGGCTTCGGAACCTCCTTGGCTCTTGCCTTTGGCTTCGCCTTCGGGATTGGCAATCCTTTGGATTCATCTTGACCATTTGAACCTGATGCCTGAGATCCTTGTGCAACAGTGGCCTTCGGAGTAGCCTTTGGCTTGGTCCTATCCATCAACGATGCACGAATCGACTCTTCATTCTGATCCTCTCGAACCTCGACGAGTGCGGACTTTAGCTTACCCATGAGCCAATCCCAGGACCGAACATGCGAGTTCTCTCTCGAGTCACGAATCCGATCGATGTGTCGTTGAAGCAACTTGCATCGCTTCAACCTCGAGTAGAGCCAAGTAAACTTGGTGGTTTCGGACGGCTGGTAACCCTGGGGAATGCCATTGAGCACATACTCAATCCGCTCTACAAACTTCTCAAGATCCTTTGGGGCAAAACCCTCTAGTGTGAGATCCAAAAGAGTTTGCTGTGTCAAGTTTGCTCCTCTATTGAGATCTAGTCGGAAATGCTGGCTAATCGTGCAAAGGAATGCACGACCTCTCGGCGCTTTGCACGCCAGTTGGCAAGATTCGGCATATGTCTGAAATCTCATGCCGAGCTCCCCACGCAAATGCTTTGTATCCATCATCAATGAACTCAAATGCGTGTCTAGCCGTGGCAGCAAACCGCTGTCCAGGAAGTCTTGGGGTTCTTTCCCTTCCACAAAACTTTCAAGAAGCCAACTTAGAATTACCTCCCTCCCAGTCATGTCAATGGCAGCGACTCGAGTCAATAGAGTGTTTTTCCAAGCCCGAAAATCTGCAGCCGATGTTGGGATATAATCTATTTTGATGAGAGATAAGTCCTTCGACCGATATACATCCTTTTCAGTGATGAAACCCAAAACATTCGATCCTACTCCAATGCTCTGACCTAAACCATGTGGCGAATCAGGCACTGAAGGACCACTGCCACCCCCTCCGGGACCCCCTCCTGGTGGCCCATTTGGCCAACCACCATCCTCCGTGTCGCTACTCGACCCCCCTGATGACGGAGGTCGTGTTGGCTTGACGGTTGGAGTTGTCGTGGAGACGGAAAACCATGGGATGTTCCCTGATCCTGACCCTGACCCTGGTGTTTTATACCCTTGGTTGGACACTTGGGACCTTGGTTCACGGACCCTGGATGCAGGTGGTGATGTTGTCATCCTTGGATCGAAACCGGCACATGCTGAACAAGCATATTCAGTAGCTTCATAGGCTTCACCCTGACCATACATAGGAATGGGAGGCGGAGCAATTGGAAAATGCAATCTCGATTCACCCTTCTTTGGACTGACTGCCTCTTTGACATCTTTCCTGAGGTCGTGAATCGTTGCCATCAATTCGGCAATGTCAACACCCGTGCCATTTTGGGATTGTTGCTGCATCATCTCATTCGAACGCCGGAGATTGGTCACCTCTTCTTGCAACACTTTGATTGTTTTGTGCAGTTCCCGTTGCTCAACCCTTTGTTCATCCAACTGCCTACTCTGAATCGACAACTGTGTCATCAACTGATTGATCTGCTGTTGGGATTGGAGATGAGCTTCTTGGGCAGAATCCTGAAGTTCCAAAATCTCGGCTTGATGTTTCAATTGCATTTGATGAAACACATCACTAGCTTGGGATTCCAACTGACTTACCCTCGAGTTCGCATGATCTATAGCTATCTGTGCATTGGCCTGGTTCTCCCGGACGGTTGCACTGGCTTCCGACTGAACCGCACTCACCATTTGTTGAGCCTGGGATTCAACGGATTGAACACGTGTTAATGCTTGGATCTCGACCGCACGAACATGTTCCCTAGCTTGCTGTTCAAGTGCCTGGACCTGTGACTGCGCAGTGCTTTGCAACTGCAACACCTGGGACGGATCAACACCAACCTGAACATTCAAAGTTCTTTGATCAAAGATGCTCTGATGATGCTGAAATTCAACCTTTGGTTCCGACCCTGGGCCACGATGGGAATGTTCCGAACCGCTTACACTCGAACTGCGCGATGACTTTCGTATCGAACTCTGCTGATCTGCCAACACACCCTGAAACCGATTCCGATGAGTAGGCTGTACGGGGGGCAATGACTTCTGTGAACTTGCACTAGACGATCGACTACCCTTCGTGGAGGCTTTCCTCACTTGCATGGCTCTACTCTGGACAGGCTCTGGGGATGTGCTCGAAATTTGCAGTGATGATGACTCGGCTGAAACCTCCATTCCTGTTGCATCATTTGGCATGATTTCTGATACCTGCGGCATGTCAATCGGGAACACAAGCAAAAATGCTAAACTACAACAGTTGCTTTACAAATGAAGTATGGTTCGCACAGACTGACCCTTGGATGATCCCACTTTTGGCGCGCGAAGCGGACTGGGATTCACCTTGCAATGCGGTGTCCCTCGAAAGGAACGGCCACGTTCTCGTTTGTGATTTAGTTGATGGACTCTTGATGCAAATATGATTGTGAAATCGATGGGACTGCCACAGCTCAAGTCAAATTGTTTGAACAATGTTTCAAGCTGGATTCAACCACAAATTCCACAAATCACAAACCTAATAGAGAGCGCACACCAACTAGCGTCGATGATATCCGGCCTGAGCAGCCTTTTCCTGCTCCAGTGCCTCTGCCACACGATCAACGTTCTTGAATGACTTCACACCTTCCGGCCGAGGCTTGTGAGGTACCTGGATGTGAGCAATCCCTATGTCCCGATTCCAGTACCTCTTGAACTCAACACAGATCTCCTTCTTGTCGTCCACGTGGATGATCGACCTGTCTCTCCCAACAGTGAAGATCCTCGCGAGACTGTCTGCCTTTCCACCCTGACCAATCGGTTCTCTAGTGATCAAGATGTAGCGGACGGGAAGTGTCCGTGAAGAATTCAACACGCAATCTCTTCTCCAGTTCGAATGCACGTATGAAGTCACCAATGTGCTGAACCCCAATCGGTTCAATCTGTCAATCGCTGCTCGAGACTTAGCCGGAACACCGTTCTCTTCCGCAGTCGGATATGTCGCGTAGCTCCCCTCACGAAATGTGTCCAACACCTGGTGAAAGTCTAATGACACTGCAGTGCCTCCAAGATCAATGCGGCTCGCCGGACGAATCCTCTGACCCTGTGCACTGTACAACTCGACCCTGTTCGTGTCAAGATAGCGCCAATCAATCGAATCGGTGACGCGGCTCACAATCGGAGCTGAAGAATCTACGGTCGGGACTGCGCTCGCCTTTGACGTGGTCTGCAACACCACTGGCGGTACTGCCTTCTTAGGTAAGCTACCCTTCGAAGTTGTCTTCAACACTGGCTTCGCCTTCTTAGGCGGATCCGGAAGAACACTCGGGGCGGAATGCAAGTTCTGTGACAACCGAGAAAACACTGGCCTTGATCCTATCGCCTTTGGCAACGCAAGCAATGTCTCCGCCGGCCTATCGGTCACTGAAGATGCAATGGGCACCGGAACAACTGAAGAAGACTCTGAAGCTCCCCGTGGATCAAGAGGTCCCTCAAAGTCCTGCTCCAACTCTTGTTCGTCCTCCGACAGTGGCTGATAGACGCTCTCGGCACAATGGCTTTCAAGATCGTCGTCGTCCTCCACTCGAGGGAGAATTGGTTCGGATCGCAAAGGCAACTTGTTCTCCTCCTTCGCCAATCTGAAAGTCTCCTGAGCCTGATTCAATCGCTTGATATACTTTCTATCTCCGTTTGATGCAGCAACACCGATCTGCACAAGATGAATGTAACATTCAAGGATTGTCAAGACCAACGACTTGCGGCGTCTCTGGAAATCTTTTCCTGCTCGCTTCTCAGCTTTGACCTTCTTGTACCGATCTAAAGCTTCGTTGAGCCGCCTGCCAACGTCTTGAAGCGGTGTGCCAGCGGCGACAGCAGGGGATCGAGAGCGAGCTCGCATTCAACGCCGAACAGCGAACGAGGTAGCGTGCAGTGAAACAAGAGTAGCTAACTCCTTTGATCCAATGCAACGAATACGGCTTGCTTCTTTCAATGAATGAGCTTAAGATCACACCAATGCAAACCTTTGGATGCAGCACCAGGGATCGGCAAAATGCACCGATTAAGCTCTTTACTCTATGAGTTCTGCACTTTAGTTGATCTTTGACCTTGAGCTAGTGAAGGCTATCTTACGATGCGATCGAACTAGTCTCTTCCAATATGGATTTAACTCGGATCCTATCCTACGAAGTGGTGTTGCTGAAGAAGCAACGCCCCACGGCCCGAAATGCAGTCCTTGGATCTGACGCTCGGCTTTCTGTTGACGGCAGCCTGACGAACGAATGGATGCCGAAATCACACTACGTGCTTATCCCAAGAAGGACCCTTTTAACTCGATGTTGGATCCAGGTATTGAGACTCACAAGCAGTGGCGGGGTTGCCACAGGAAAGCTGGCTCAAGGCTATCCTATGACGAATATGAAAATGCAATAGCTGAGGCTGTTAACCAGTTAAACTCACCAACCACAGCCAAAGTTGGTAGTTTAGTAGCAACGGCAAGCACCACGCGCAAACGCCTTTTTCCGCAGTGCTTGAGCCAAATACAAAGTCGCGTAGGCAAAATCACGAGTGACACATGATGCATGAGAAGACGTCAAAGAATGCTATGCTCTATACATGCTTTCCATCAACTATCTTCTTTCACTCTAAACTCGCTTTTTCATTGTTTTCTGCTTCCAGTGCTGCTTCCTCCTTTGGTCCCCATTCCTTCACTGTGTGCGGGGCTAGGTCAGAGAGATGGCTGTTGGAGGCAACGAGTTGAGATGCCATCCAAGTAGTACCAATCCTCAAAAGCCAGCAGCTGCAACAGCTTTGCAAATACGCTTAGGAGGCCATCGCTCTTAGGTTGGAGGCCATCGCTATTAGCAGAGGTGTCACATCGATCTCTTTCAAACTGGGCAGTCTAAGCAGTCTGAGGCCATGTCATCAAAGCAAAGACACAGCCGCAGGTCTTGATCATGCGCGAGACGAGCTGCAGGTTACGCCTTGCATATCCGGAGACAGATTTTGGAGTGCAAACACTTTCTTGATAGTCTTTGTTGTGCCTTTCTTTAAGACCTTTAGGCATTTCAACTTTCTGTCTTCCTTTCTTTCCTTTACAACAATATAAATATAAAGGTAACACTTCAAGCTCTTTTAAATGTCAGCGAGCCATACAAGCCAGTGTCTCAGGGGTATCCTGTGGACCAGGCATTTGCTTCTCAGCAAACTTGTCCTTCTGTGTATTGCCTCATTCCGAGGCAACGCAAAAGAAACAATGCCAAACGTAGGCCAGACATACTGTTGCATAGCTGAATCAGGAATTGTGTGAACTAAGTTCCGCTGGTGAAAAAGTCAAAAAGTTGGGCTCAAGACTGAGTTTCTCAAAGGCACTCCTGCAGTGGAATGATTGAGATCTGAAGAAGCCGTAGACTCTGTGCTTCTTTGCTTTTGCTACAGAAGTCCAAACGGTTGCCTGCAATCGAAACTGTCGCTCTCCAGCTGATCGGCAACCATTCCAACCAGAGTTTTTCTCTGGATGGACCTGAAAAGGTTTGCACAGACCAATCGCTACTAGGAGCAAGAACGCTACTAGGGGCTCCTGGCCTTACTACTAGGAGCAAGGACGCTACTAGGGGCTCCTGGCCTTACTACTAGGAGCAAGGACGCTACTAGGAGCAATTGGCACTGAGCTGAACGCCTTCTGCCATTTGCAGCCTGGCTGAAACGCCAAGCTGCAAAACAAGAAATCGTTTTTTGTCATGAAAACGAACCTAGAAGCGATGGCCTCCAACCTACTAGCGATGGCCTCCAACCTAATAGCAAACTTGTTCATCCATTCATACAGTAGGTGTATTGTCGACGTGTTTCACTTCAACACTTGGGCAGTGAACCTTTTCTTGGTCTTCCTCCTTGACCATCTTCATGAGCATGTCCCCATGATCGTATGAACTGGCCAAACCCACTCGTAAGGACACCTCTGCGAATTCATGATGCAAAGAACTTGCTGTTTGCCACTTGAATTCATTCGTAAAAACCATACAAATACAAGGATCAACAATCTTGATTTGAAGACTTCTTTGGGATTGGACGATCAAACCAAACATTAGATAGGCAAGCCCGACTGCCTCAGTGCAACGACGACCGAAGCAACAATAGCAAAAGGGAGGTTGGAACTGTTGTGTTTTAAGTTGTCTGTATGCCAAATTTAATTGGAACTCGTGCTTTTTGCTTATCAAAGTGTCACACTTCACACTGGACACACACTGCAAAATGCCAAGCGGGAAGTCCCGTGTCCAAAGTTTTGCCCTGCTCAGCACAAGGCAACAGGGGAAATCCAACGGATGTATTTAAGCTCCTCTCAGTGAATTGCGTCGAAGGAAAAACGAAAGATGTGTTGGTCTGGAGGAAAAACAAGAAAGGAAAAAAGGTTGTGTAACAAACCATTACGTACCGTCACTATGTCATATGTGTTCATTTCTGGGGGGTGATAGGGGGTAGGTCAAAGGGGTAGCTTAGTAAAGCAAGTAGAAGCATCCAGTCACTGTAGTTCAGACTCGGATTTCTCAAACTAACTGCCCCACCCCCCAAAAGCTCCCTTGAAGAACCTTTTGCATAAATGGAAAAGTACAAAGTCTGTTTGGTCTTGCAGCTTTCTCGTCGCAAAAATCGCAAAAGCTGCAGAATACTGCTCAAAGCTTCTAATAACGATGGCCTCCAATCTACTAGCGATGGCCTCCAAACTGATAGCAAACTATATTGGACCATGCCCAGCTTTACGTCCCAAGCCCGTCCGATGCTGCATCCCCAAATGTGACGTCGCCAAAGTCAATCTCGTTGCTCAAGGCCCACCTGGTGGCACAATTCTCAGAGATGCACAGAGTGCGTTTGCAGAAAGTGGGCATACCTCCCACTACTCTATATTCCGTCCTTTTTTTAAGGTTTAAACATTCAGATAGTTGTTGATTTTAGGTGTATGTATGTATATTAGTGTGTATATATATATTACAATATATATATATGTGTGTGTGTTTAATAGATATCTAATAATTCTCTATATTGTGGTTCCATGTCTGTCAGCAATATCTTCCTCCTTATCTTCCGCGCTACCCTACTTCCCTGCTTTTGAACTAAGTCCGAACTAGACCGCACTACCTCAAACGACTAAGAACAGGAAAACAAGAATGCCGCTTTCTTTTGCTACTTCGGGGGGTTAGGCCATGAAGGTCTGCCGCTCCTACAAAGCAGCCAGGAACTAATAGCCTAAGTAGGAGCGTAAGTAGCTGCTAGATGCAGGGACGGCTCAAGCTGAGGCTTCTTCGGATGATTGGCTCATAGAAGGAAAACTTAAGCGTTGGCCTCTTTTGGTCAAGCAGTAGCGATGGCCTCCACCCTAGTAGCAATGGCCTCCACCCAAATATAAAGAATCGTTCATTCTTGTTTCCTTTCTTTGGTTCCTTCTACACCTCTCTCTAAAAAATGGTTGCCACTTTGCTGAAAAAGCATGTCAGATACAAAAGAGCACACAGGCTGAGCAGCATGCACGACCCAGGCAACGATGGTGGCAAGGCCAAGCCTTGGAGACTCGAACAGAAAACCTGACACAAAGGAAAAGAAAAGAAGAGAAGCAAAACATATACTTAAAGGAAACCAGAACGGAATCAAAGAACACATAATGGCATCATAAAAATATCATAATTGTGTTTGACCTCAGAAAAGAAAAAATGCGTGAACAAAGAACCAAAAAAACAAAAGTCAACAATTATTAGTTTAATATATAAATGAATGAAATAACAAAAGGCAGGAACAAACAAGTGCATCATTGTTACAGACCTCAGGCTACTTATGCAAGACTTGCAAAGACTTAGACAAAGGGTTGCAGACCTGTAAGACTTGACTTGATCAAACTGTTTACATGTGCTTTAGATGTGTTAGTCCCAATCTGAGAACGTCACAGCATGAAAGCTGTCATGCTCCCAGCATAGAATGCCGTCGCGTCTTTCTCAGACCCGACATATACCCTCAGAGCAAGGCATAAATGACTCAATCACTAGTAGGTTGGAGGCAACCGCTAGTAGAAACAAAGAAAAAGAAAAGGACGAAAGGCCTAATAGTAGCGTCCTTGCTCCTAGTAACGTAGTAAGGCCAGGAGCCCCTAGCAGCGTCCTTGCTCCTGGTAGCGATGCCCTTTGTTCCTAGTAGCTTCTTGTTCCTAGTAGCGTTTACCATTAGGATGTCATGTGCACATTATGAATACTTGAAGAGTGCTTCACGCGTAGGGCATCTGCTGCATCTTCATGACCCGGAGGCTTGCACTCTTACCCACACCGCTAGCCTTTCAAGGGCGAAACGAACGCGGAGTCAAGCAGTGTGTCATGCATTCTAGATCTTGATGTGTCTTGATGGGGTAGTGGTGTTTTGAAAGCCAAGACTCACTCAGGTTATCAAGAATTGCAAGTTCTTGGGCTGCTTTTTGTCGCCAACCTGCAAGGCTGCAGCCATGGGATCTTTATGAACTGGTCGAGACAATGCTCGCCTGGGCCCAACTGCAGGCACTACATGCAGCTTCTCCAGCATGTGAACAATCAAATAAATTGTGATCCAAAATAGCATCCTTCCACATGACTTGATTGGAGGTCACGCCGTGGTCTACGTACTGGTTACGTATGGTTGGTCACTGTGCTTGATGAGAGTATTGTTTCTCTCGCACTTCGATCTGAGCATCGAACACCACGGTGGTCAGCAAGGGTCCCATCAAAACCGTGCACTGAATCGGAACTGATGGATAGGACTGGCAGAAGAGCTGTCTCTGTGTCTGAAGTGAATCTGGGCAGCAAAAGAGAAAGTGGTTGGAGGCCAATGCTAGTAGGGTGGAGGCCGCTATTGATTGACCCAAAGTGGTATCCAAAGTGGTACCTAAAGGTGCGCCCAAAAAGGGTCCGTCTGCGGAGAACACCACATGATACACGAAGCTGAGTGGCAATGTCCAAGCTGAGCGGAAGAAACATCGGTTCGTAACGGCCACAATCACCTGCCTCTGCAAGGTTCAAAGCGGCAATGTAGATCCTTGGGTGTTGTATATTCCACTATCAAAACTGACATCGGCTGATTTCTTGGAAACGAGACAACTTGATTTAAAGCTGAGGAGATGGCAATACACCTGCCGCCAATAGAATGGATCGCCCAACAAAACGATCCTGCGGTTTGGTACAAAGTCCGAGAGAAGCAAAGCACCAGCCCCCTTGCAAAAGCATGATTGCACCGAAGCCCTTCCACAAGGTTTCTTGTTCAGATAATATTTTTTCTGACAGAACCCAAAGCCTTCAAGAAGTGAAAAAAGAAGGAGACAAAAGGGAAGAACAAAGATTGGGAATGAAAGATTGGGCCTTTTAAGTAGACCTGCTCTTTCTTTAAGTAGGGAGTTGCTTGAGGCTAAGACAGCTTCCAGGCCTTTGAGAACAGGACGAAGTATTGACCTGGAACAAAGTGGCTGCCGGTGAGGACACAAAGACTGTCTCTTGCAGAACTACCTATCCATTGTGTATATATATACACATTAATATATGTATATACATATATATATCATATATGAGTATAGAATTAGAATTTGTCAATTATATATTCAGATTTAGTATTAGCAGAAACAAAAAGGCCAGCAGCTACAAGTAGAGCAAAGGAAGTGCAGGGAAACCACTAGATGCTTGGAGGCAGGGCTCTTGCATGATTGATGTAGTTCCTAGGTAGGCCATCGCTAGTAGGTTGGAGGCCATCGCTAGTAGGAGCAGGGACGTTACTAGTAGCTCCTGGCCTTACTACTAGGAACAAGAAGCTACTACAAGTAGTAACAAAGGGCATCGCTACTAGGAGCAAGAAGCTTTTAGGTTGGAGGCCATTGCTAGTAGTAACAAAGAAAAGAGAAAAGGAAGAAAGGTCATTGATATAGTTTGCATAGTGAATATTGAGAAAACTTAAGTCAACAATCCTTCACTCCGACCTTCCAAATGCGGAGGCCAAAAGAAATCCAGAAGGTACCTGCCGCGATTCAAGACAAGTTGTAGAGGATACCGTGCTACTTTCACATCGATAAATAGTGCCGTCTTGAATGGAGGCGCACAAAAGGAGCAAAATGCATACAGCACCAGCGCCAAAAGCGTAGCCTGTCACCTTGGCCGATGCAACCAGCGAGAGAAACAGCAAGGAATGTTTCTAATAGCCTCTTGTTACTACTAGTAACAAGTGCCTTACTAGTAGTAACAAGTGCCTTACTACTAGTAACAAAAAGCTATTAGAATTAATTTAACATTAAAACTAAATTAACTATTAGCTTCTTGTTACTACTACTAAGGCACTTGCACCTGTTACTAGTAGCTTCTTGTTACTACTAGTAAGGCACTTGTTACTAGAAGCGATGCACTTGTTCCTAGTAGCGTCCTTTACTCCTACCGAATGCTCAGCCTTGCAGCCGAGAAACATCTCCTCCTACGAAGTACGTGTAGACTGCCTCTCCCCAGCCTCAAGCAGTCAAGCCAAGCAAGCAAGTTACCAAGTCAGAGGCCGCCTCGCCACTTCTTCTTTCAGACATGTGTTTTCCACCGAAAAGTAGAAAAGGCAACAAAAAATGAAACCGTTGTCAATTATAACAGTAAAAGCTTGTAAAAGCATGTTGTTAAATCATAGTTGGCTTTCTTCGTTCAAGAGTTGATTGACTAAAATACCCAAGAAGTCATAGGGCCTATGTCGGACCACAAGAGGATCGCTGCAGCGCACGGAATGCCCGCCACAAAAAAGCAAAGGAAAAAGTACCTCAAACAGAGTCCAAGCATGTTCCATTCACAGTCCTCAAACAGCTTAGAAGCACGCTATTAGGGGCCCCTGGCCTTACTACTAGGAGCAAGAACGCTACTAGGAGCAAAGGGCATCGCTACTAGGAGCAAGAACGCTACTAGGGGCTGAGTCTTATTTTAGCCCAAGGCCCCGCCTCCTTACTCAATTACAGTAAGATATAGGCATCTACTTAATTAGGCAAGGGCGACCAGTTAGCCACTACATAAGGACGCAGGATAGCTCAAGCTTCTAGTAATTTGGTTCCTAGATGCTTTGGGAAACTTAACATCCCCACTCCATCAGTGATACAAAATTCAACTGCGCACGGAAGGAAGCCGCACCTCAAGCGTTCAGAAAAGGAAGAAACAAAATCAAGGACACAAACACATAACACATTGGGCAACACATTGCACAACTTTTGCATGAAACAATAAGCTACTAGGAACAAGTGCATCGCTTCTGGTAACAAGTGCCTTACTACTAGTAACAAGAAGCTGTTAGAAACAAGAATTAATATGACGATGATTTGATCTACCCTTCCTTTCAAATTGAAGGCGTTGTTCCTTTCATGCGGTCACTGAGGGCGTGCTCTATCAGCGACACCATACATCTTCTGAAAGAGAAAATCGGCAAAAATGTTCTTTTTTCTAATAGCTTCTTGTTACTACTAGTAGGGCACTCGTTACTAGAAGCGATGCACTTGTTCCTAGTAGCTTATTGTGTCATACCCACTTTCGGACCTTTTTTCAACAAACTCGATCTTCTAAGGTCATTGCCCCAGTCGATAGGCACCCTGAAAGGGCGCAAGCATGTTTCTTTCAGACGGCAAGACTTGCTAGCTGCTGGGAAGGCCGCCAGGCCCCAAACGGCAATATGCTAAGCTACTAACTAGTAACAAAAACATCGCTACTAGTAGCAAGAAGCTACTAGTAACAAGGGCATGGCTACTAGTAAACCAAAATGATTTCCATATATTTCAATGGTGTATGTTCATCCTCTTTTGGAGCAGCCGGAGGCGCCGGTCGGTAGGGGCGGGAAAAGGTAAAAATTGAGTGTTGCTAGTTGACAACCCAAAGTGTTTTCTGTGTTTTTCAAGCACGTTTCTCCCTAAGGGAGAAAAAGACGATTCCTTGAAGAACTCTTCGCATGGATTTGGAACACAAACTCTTCAAGCATCAGACCTGCTCCGACTTCTCATCCATGTCGATCCCAGAATTACAGATCTGGACGGACGACCATACACAAGAGGACACGTGAGCTTCCTGTTCTCAAAACGAGAAGGCACATCCTGCCTTTGATGATCTCCTTCTACACATAAGTCTTAAATCATCTTTTGTTGTCCTTGCAAGATACTGCAAAAATGCAGCACAAAACCTTCTCGGACATATGGAAAAAAGCTTACGTTTTGTCGCACCTCTGTCCCTGTATGTGTTCGTGCGCGACTTACATGAGAGGCCCACAGACCAGTACAGCTGCTTCCAGTAAGATTAGGGCCAACTGTGACGTACCCTCATTCAAGCCCACAAGGAAAAGGTCGAAACTTGCGCGATGGCCTCCAACCTAATAGCAAACTACATTAGATATGTCCATGTCCATATACATTGTGCTAAAGACTCCAAGCCTGCTTCGCCGTAGAATTCCTTTGTTTGTGAGGATGGGAAAAATGGAGAGAATGAAAGAAGGGAAGACAAAAAATAAGAAGGTCTAAAAAAAAAGAAACAAACGAAAGAACAAAGAGAGTGCAAATGAGGTGTTTGCTTTTCTTCTGACGTAAGTGGATACTTGCGGTTGCTTGCGGTCACTAGTGGTCACTCGTTCCCAACGGGCAAAGACATTGAGGGCCCAGATGCAAGTGCCGTAGAGTGCCTAGTGGACCAAACGTGTACTGCGGCGTGGCACCGCATTGTGCGGATTCAGACCTACTAGCGATGGCCACCAACCTAATAGCAAACTGTATTGGACCTTGTGTTTCGGCTACCTCGTGTGGAAGATGATTGAATGTTCCATTGTTTGGTGGCTATTGCTTTGCCTATGTGTTTGTATTTGGAGCGCAATGGCAAGATTTTCATGAAATGAATTAATGGTTCGCCTCATTTGCATTTGGATTTACGGAGTGCCTATGTTTTGCACTTGCTGTTTAGTTGTTGATATACTGCAACTATATGCAGTTGGTATCAAACACAGAAATAGATCTACAAATGTTGGCTTTTAAAACTGTGCAAGCAGAGATGCAAACGTTGAAAAAACTTGTCTAGGAGCAAGGACGCTATTAGGTGGAGGCCATCGCAAGTAGGCTGGAGGCCATCGCTTCAAGGAACAAGAAGCTACTAGTAAGGCACTTGTTTCTAATAGCTTCTTTGTTACTACTAGTAAGGCACCTGTTACTACTAGCGTGGCACTTGTTACTAGTAGCTAGAATCAGCTAGAAGTTGTCTGAAATGTATTTCTAACCGGTCTGTCGGAATCGTGTCCTCACGTCGCTCCTGTTCCTTTCAAGTCGTTGCTTTCAGTTTTGAGTCATCCCTTTCGTTAGGTTGGAGGCCATTGCTAATAGGTATAAGTTATAAGTTGTTGCTTTCGGTTTTAAATCTTCCATAATTATCCGTCTCAAGTCATCTTCATGTCAAGTCTTTCCTATCCCTCCTGATTTTGGGCCGCCCGTTTTCGTTTGATTTTGCCTGGTGCAAGCATAATACTTTCTGTGAAGACCAAAAAAAAAGGCAAAGCCTGTCAGACCCTCTTGCGTCACTTGTAGTCACTTGAGCTCACGTGCTTCGATTTTAGGCTTTGCGTCTTGACGTCGAATCTCTGCTCTAAGACTCCTTGCGCATGAACAGTTTTAGATTTCTTGTAGCCTGAAAGACACCAGAGGTCACCCGTGGTTACTGGCGCTTCTATTTGCGGCTGGGCAAGCAGCAACTAGTAGTAAGAATGTTCCTAGTCGTATGGCATTGTAACCCTAGTAGCTTCTTGTTACTGGTAGTAAGAATGCTACTAGTAGCGATGCCCGGGTTCCTAGTAGCGAACATTGCTCCTAGTAGTAAGGCCAGGAGCCCCGAACGTAGCGTCCGAACGCTCCTAGTAGAGATGCACTTGTTACTAATAGCTTCTTGTTTCTAATAGCTTCTTGTTACTACTAGTAAGGCACTTGTTCCTAGAAGCAATGGTTATTCCGCTGTTCAGACCTTTGGAGCACAACCCCTCCCCCCCTCTCCAGTCCTGCACCACCTTCCAGCAAGCCGCAGAGCATTACGGCTGAGCCAGAATTCCGCCGGAAGATACATGTAGCAGATCATCCTCAAGCGTAGACTCTACTGGGAGCAAAGGGCATCGCTATTAAGAGCAAGGACGCTACTACCAGCTCCTGGCCTTACTACTAGGAACAAGGACGCTACTAGATACATGTAGCAGATCATCTCCTCAAGCTGGTAACTGATCATTTCCTAAAGCGCCTAAAGCTCTGCCCTCGCTGACATCACCCTTTTTGGACTGTCTGAGGAGCGCTGCGAAGCGCTGCGTGCCAAACAAGCCGAGGACTGTCAGAGCCCCTAAAGGGATGAAGTGCACGACCAGCTACCGACAACCGTGGCAGTGCAGCTTTCTCGTCCAGTCTGTTGGAGCTTCTTGTTACTACTAGTACGGCACCTGTTACTAGTAGCGATGCACTTGTTTCTAATAGCTTCTTGATATGTCACAATATGCGTGGCTTTGGATTGTCTTTCGCAAGAAGCGGGACCTACAACAAACAAGGCAGGCAACCAAGGTCACCTGTTAATTCAGGAAGTTGCCTCAACTTTCGGGTTAATCTTCCCCCTATGATTTTCCAGAAATGAACAGCTTCGAAAAAATATCTCAGCTTCTTTGAGGCCCACAACTATACATCTACACCCTTTGGACACCACTTCCCCCAACAATTTGGCAGTTTAAAGCTGGAAGTCTGGAGGCTATCGCTATTAGGTTGGAGACAATCGCTATTGGGTTGGAGGCCATTGCTAGTAGGTGGAAAGTCTGTGTCGGTGGAAAGTAGGTGGCGATCTTGCTAGCTACTAGCGTCTTCACGGCCTACACCCTCCAGTACAACCAACTAGTTACACAAATTACATATTTGTACAACATGTAAGAGAAAAGAAAATGAAAAGTATAATTGTACTTTGTTTTGTTTAAATAGCAACAAGTAATCTGTTAATGATACAATAAAACTAGTAGATGCATAGTAAGTAAACAGTAATATCTCGAGGTCAAGCATTAAGACTAGAGCTCAGGGCAGTGACATTCAAAACACAAATACTGCTCGCCTTCAAATACTTTGCGTATTCTTTGGGGCAAAGATCTTGTCATGTATTTTGTCACGTTTTATTGATGTTGTTATTTACCCTGTTTTCTTGCTTCGTTCTTCCCTTTTTCGCCTTCTTTTTGCTTGCCTTCTTCTGAGCCAAATCGCTACGTTCAGGCGTATCGACTGCGCAAATGTACATCATGGTTTATCTTCGCGTGAAAAATCGGTTAGGGACGTTCTCTGACGTTTTGAGGCCCTTTGGGGTTGGGGGAGGCTCTATCGCTGAGCTGGCAGTGTGACATTCTGGTTTCAATGACGCTCATCTCTATATCTCGTCAATCACTGTAGTTGAGACTATACCGCTCTTCAAACACGATCTGCATCTCTGACGACCCACCGAAACTCATAGCAGGGTCGTTCACGGTGCAGGTGGCTGGGCCTTCGTGTCGATATATGTCCGCTACTAGGAGCAAGGGCATCGCTACTAGGAGCTCCTGGCATCGCTACTAGGAGCAAGGACGCTACTAGTGCTCAAGACTGGTGGCATGAGGCCTCGCATCCTGACTTTGATCCCTTGCACTAGTAGTCTAGTAGTGCTGTTGCAGTTGAGTGAATTGTTCAAATGTAGAAGAACTGCCGAAGCGCGGACTTGCGGTAGTGTTGGTGACGACGTTCTGCGGGAAACCTTGAGCCTTTGTTTGGATGAAGATTGATGGCCTTTGAAACTGTTGCGTTGGTTCCAGGTTTGAACACCTTTTGGGAACTCGTCAGGTTTCCATACATTGTGGTTTCCGGAGGCGGCCTCTGTGCGTTCATGTTTTCCTCTTCATTTGTTTTTGCTTTCTTTAGACCTTTAGACCTTTGGTCACACTAGGGGTTCTTACAATAGTTTTGCTGGGTGCTCTAGATCATTCTAGATCTAGGTGCCGCGCGGTCGGGGGCTCATCTTTCATCCTGGTTACCGTACAATCATGCTGTATCACTTTCATTTTCGTCGACGGTCTCGCAAGAAAACGCACAACCCTTTTACTTCGATGTGCTGAGAAATCGTGGCAGGCGCAGCACTTTGTGAACCTTGGAGTTTAAGCACCCTTTCATAGCCAACGATACAGTAATTATCTCACAACTTCCAAGAGTACAAGCAGTATCCAAAAACTGCTCTGCCACGGCCTCCCATTCTGTCGTCTTCAGGCATCACGCAGCTCCAAATTGACAGCAAATTGCAACAACTGTATTAAATCGATTGGTAGTGAGCTACTGGATGTCGCGATTGTTTTTCGTCTTGTGGTATTGTTCGAAGCAATGCCACTGATCTCATCCCTCGTCATCCTCCTCACGGGCATCTTCAAAGATTCTCATTTGTGTCTGCTGGCAAACTCTAGGCGTGCCAAACCAAAGGTTCTAAAGGTCTAAAGAAAAAGAAAGAAAAGTTTAAAAGTTTAAAGAAAGCAAGAAGGAAATTATTTGTTTCAAAAAACAAATAATAGATAATACAAAGAAACAAATGAATGAATGAAGGAATGAATGAACGAATGAATGAATGAATGAACGAATGAATGAATGAACGAATGAATGAATGAATGATTGAATGAACGAATGAATGAACGGATGAATGGATGAATTAATGAATGAATGAACGAATGAATGAATGAATGAACGAAGGAATGAATGAATGAATGAATGAAGGAATGAATGAACGAAGGAATGAATGAATGAATGAACAGAAAAGAAATGTCTAAAGATTCTTGGTCCTACCGAAAAAGTAAAATACAAACTTTACCTCGAGACGTCGAGCGCTTCCCACCCTGAGAGGCGATTCGGAAGAAGGAAGGGCACGTGTATTGACAGACCATCCTGACAAAAGCTGCCTGACATATGCACTGGCACCTAGTAGATTCTTGCTCCTAGTAGCGATGTCAGGAGCCCTTAGTAGCGTCCTTGCTCCTAGTAGTAAGGCCAGGAGCCCCTAGTAGCTTCTTGTTCCTACTAGGCTTCTTGTTACTGGCACAATGTTCTGATAGCTGGTATGTGCCCTGACGTCTGACATATCTTCTGGCATGTACTTCTGATATGTGCTCTCGCACCTAGCTGACAAGTGCTCTGACATGTAATGTGGCGTAATGGAATGACTTCGGTTCTGATATGCGCTCTGCCATGTATTCCGACATGTGTTCTGCCATCAGACCTGCCACATGATCCGACATAATTCACGCCATGTGATTTGCCATTCTACGTGGCAATTTTTCCGACATACAGTCTTCCTGGCATCTATTGAGACATTCTTGCTGGCACTCTCTCTGGCATGCATTCTGGCATTCTATCCGGCATCTATTCTGACTCTTCCTGGCATTCTATCTGGCATCTATTCTGACAGTCTTCATGTATTCCTGCCTTCTATCTTGAATGGCATCTGTTCGGGTCCTAAGTGTTGGGGTCCAGGTGTGCCCACGCCAGGCTGGAGCTCCGCCCGAGAAGAGGAGTGGTACCTTTCATTAAAACAAAATACCCTCACCTGTAGGTGGGAACAAAAAAATGGAAATATGAGAAAAGGAAGAAAAGAAAGAAAGGTCTAAAGGTTCTAAAGGTCTATTTTAAAGAATATCTAATATACAAAAAAAATGGACATGTTCAAACTGCCATTGCCAAGTCCTCTGGAAGCGCCAACGCTTCTTTTTGACGGTTGAAATAGGGTCGCAGCACCCATTCAACCTGCAAAGTGATGCTTTGTGCTCCATTCATTTAATTCTAATTAAGTATTAATCTAAAAGGTCCTAGTAGCGTCCTTGTTACTACTAGTAAGGCACTTGTTACTAGTAGCGATGCACTTGTTCCTAATTGAATTTTTCAATTATATTTTGCAGCACAAAGCATCGCTAGTAGGTTGGAGGTTCGAAGCAAAGACATACTGTCTCACAATTGTGTCCTACGTGTCCAACTTTCGGCTTCACTCGCCTCTACGTCCTTCATGTCAATTGCCCCAAGCTCCAAGCGAAAAAGCCTGAGGTGTTGGCACGGGAACTTGGAGCACTGTGTGCTTGTCCATTGATCCATGGAGGATGGCATGAAAAGGATGCCATTGGCTTTGAGTGCTCTCTGGCAATCAGAAGTATTGCAAGGATGTCCTGCTTAACCCTGTGAGGTGGAATGAGCTGTGCGCCAAGATAAAGCAAGGTATGCGCCCCCCGGGAAGAGCGTGCATCTTCGACAAGCCGTTCGTGACGCGATGAAAGAACTTGCAAAGAAAATGTGGCATTCCTATTGGGTTGGAGGCCTTCGCTAAGCGGTGGTGAAATCCAAGGTTCAAAAATACGCCTTTCGAGGAAAGAGAACAAAACCCTGTCGAGCCGATCTTCCAATAAGTACTAGTCTAGCGTCAAGGACTTCAAGGAAGCAAAACCAAAGCGCTGTTTTGCAATACCCTTTACCACCTCTACAACAGCGGTGCACTTGCCAATCCTTCGCCATCTCACATTTTGTAGCTCTGACTTGTGTCGCGGCTCAGAGTGTAGATTACTGTAGATTGCGACGTATTGCCAGGGAGCACATGCCAGCTATTCCCAGTACATACATGTACATACCAGGACTCACCATCCCCCCCACTCAACCAGGGATTATTATATAGACTTGCGGGTTCAGGGTAGGGTCAGGGTTCTTCGCACGGAGTCCGTTTCGCACTGTTAATCGCATGGAATAGCTGACAACTCGATTCATTGTTTGCCGCTTAAGGCCCCTTTTGCCTCGTGGGCATCCAGCGTTTGCATCAGGGAATCGAGTGTCCCCTTGTGGGCATCCAGTGAGTTCTGGCCGTACTATTTCCCAGGAGTGTCCATTGCTTTGCTCCCACATGTGCACTCTACCTTGTACACCCGCTCAACGTCCCCTGCGCACGACCTTTTAAGTACGCTCGTCAGAATTTCCTCTGCCAGGACAGTCAATTACAAAAGTGGTGACCATCAATCAGCTGATTTCTTGCGACTAATTTCAATGCAACGACGGTCTTTTGCTCTGCGCCTCATGGCAAATCGAGGACCATTCTCGGTCAGTGTTACATGGTTAGCCTCAGCTTCTGAGTTCAAAAGAGGGCAGTAACAAGGGCATCGCTACTAGTAGTAATGCCCCTTGTTACTAGTAGCAATGCCCAGACCAATTGTTGCGTTTCGCATTGTGTATTCCAACCCGAGAAGGATGGCCATCACCAGGACGACCCTTTGGCCTGGCGCATTCTACAGAGCACCATCGCAAAGACACCGTGCAAACACCATGCACGTTGCCATTCGTTGCCTGACAAAGTTGTGGTGGCGAAAGTGGATGACATCGCGACCTTATCGCACTCGACAAGTTACAAAATGCTCCTCCAACCCAATAGCGTCCTTGCTCCTAGTAGTAAGGCCAGGAGCCCTTAGTAGCTTCTTGTTACTAGTAGCGATGCCAGGAGCCCCGTGCGTAGCTTCTTGTTACTACTAGTAAGGCACTTGTTGCTAGTAGCTTCTTTGTTACTAGAAGCGATGCACTTGTTCCTAATAGCTTCTTGTTACTACTAGTAAGGCACCTGTTACTAGTAGCGTGGCACTTGTTCCTAGTAGCGTCATCTCTTGACATCTCAGAACTTCGAGGTGCCAACGGTTTGCAAAGGTCATCACCCGATCACCTGCTTGCTTAGCAGGAGGAAAAAGGGCCTCAGCTTGGAGCAGCTTAGCCGAAAAAAGCACATGTGGCACAGCAAAGTACCAAGCACGAAAGCACAAAGCAAGTGAGAGCACGAGAGTAAATGAAACAATATGATCTCATGTCATCGCATGTCGGCCTGGAGGATCGTCTTGAGTCTTAAGCCGGTCTTGGCTGTAAACCCGTGGAAAATCAAATGTGGGTTTGCCTGCCGCAGTCTTCCACATGTCAAGTCACCAAATGTGGTGCTATTGAGCAGTTCAAGAAGGCAAGAATTTCCAAAACACAATGTGCATCTGTTCTCGGCACCTCCGACATAGTTGGAGGCTTTTCCGCTAGGTCATGCCGCAACACGACATTGGACAAGCCTTGAAGGACACAGTCAGGACACAAGCTTTATCATTTTGCATCAAGCTCCACTTTATCATCTGTTGAATCTGTTCCAAGTTGTTCCAAGTTCTTCTACCTTCTTTCTGAAAGAGTTACCATCTGGTTGAAACCCTCCTGAGCTCAGATCCAAAGTATGCCGTGGGGCCAAATGGCAGGTGGCACACGACCATGCCATCTGGTTCCCCCCTGTGCTCGTGGACAATGATGACCTCACGGCAGCTTTATGTAGCAAGAAACATAGATGCCACAGGTGCAAATTTGCTTTGAGGGAACTTAACATATAGGTTGGAGGCCATCGCTACTAGGGTGGAGGCCATCGCTATCAACTTAGACTAATGTAAACTGCTAGTGCAATCTAGTGCACATTTTGCACACCACAAAATACTGGGATGTCAGCATCTGTCATTTCATGTGACCTTGCCAGCTGCATCAAATCCTCAAAAAACACAGAGCAGAACTGCACAAAAGACTGGGGAACAGAGTCTAGTTGAGTGGAAACATTCATTCGTTTTCATGTTGGTCTCCGCAGGAAACCACCATCCTTCACCACGTAGCCACCTCTATTCATCCGCTGGGCACCGGGAAACCTGAGAGGCAAACATGTTGAGAGTTATTTTTGACTTTTCGAGACATCGCTCCCTAAAACCAAAGCCAATCAGGACTGACTAATGCAAAAAAATCTAGACACCAAATAAATAGAAGCGCGAGCTATTGTGCTATCCTGCATCCAGCTACTAGGAGCATGTTACAGTACTTACTTAAGCCGCGAACTTACCTTTTCCTCTAGCAGCCTACCACCCTCCTCCCTTGTAGTGATGGCCTCCAACATAATAGTGATGGCCTCCAACCTTATAGCAATGGCCTCCAACCTAATCGCGATGGCCTCCAACCCAATAGTGATGGCCTCCAACCCAATATTGATGGCCTCCAACCCAAGAGTGATGACCTCCAAGGTAACAGTGATGGCCTCCAACCTAATCGCGATGGCCTCCAACCCAATAGTGATGGCCTCCAACCCAATAGTGATGGCCTCCAACCCAATAGCGATGGCCTCGAACCTAAGATGAGTGATGACCTCCAAGGTAATTCTGATGGCCTCCAACCTAATAGCAATGGCCTCCGACCCAAGATGAGTGATGACCTCCAACCTAATAGCAATGGCCTCCAACCCAATAGTGATGGCCTTCAACCTTATAGCAATGGCCTCCAACCTTATAGCAATGGCCACCCTCTCGTTCTGATTCAAAAAGACCTCTGAGGTGCCTACAACATTCTGAGTTCTTTCAAGAACTGACTGAGGCGAGATGATGGGTCTCGTGAGGTGGTCAGGAGCACCTTGGCCAAGAAAGATCCGTTTGGTTTCACGCAAAAGCGATGCCGCTATGCCAACAGCAAAAAGAGTAAACACATGCAAAAACAAGAAAAGCTAAGGAAACTGTAGGAAATTATAGAAAACTGTACAAAACGACTGTTTCTCATACCGTAATGATATATGACATGATATGACTCTGATATGACTAACTGCTTTATGTGGACCACCCTCTTCCATGATCTACCCACTCTGGCGGTCTGCGGCCCTGCCAATAATAGGGACACATTTGCCATCATTATCCAAACAACAAATTGCCTTTGCTGGACGCTGCGTCCCGCACACACCCGACTGTTCAACAAGTGACTAAAAGATTCGCCTGCACTGCAACGTGAAGGACATGCTTTAAGGTACTGTACAGTCGTAGTCAATCGATCCTGGGATATGATGCTAAGCTACCTGTGGAACATGACAAGGAGGTCTTTCTACCGTGTGCATGCCAGGAAACCAAGCGCACCAAAGAAAGCAGACCAACGTGCGTCAAATGCCAACAAAAGGCCAGTTGCAAAAAATACCCCAAAAGGCAACCACCACTGAGCCATTGCATACGCAACATGACCTTGAGTTTGACACTGCGCTCAACTCGACTGAAGGGCAGCATGAACGAGGTGGCCACTGTAAATCCACCAAAGAATAGGGCCTCCACCCCAATAGCGATGGCCTCCAACCTAAGAGCGGCCTCCAACCTAATAGTGAGTGTTTTCGCCACAAGCAACGGACCTAGCAGGAAACAAAGCGTGGAAACTTGGACAAAATGGACATCGGCGACGCACAAGCAAGGTAGCAAGAAGCTACTAGACTAGGAACAAGGACGCCACTAGTAACAGTCTTTGAAGCTAATAGTAACAATAAAGCTACTAGTAGGTCTTTGAAGCTTTCTAGTAACAAGAAGCTACCAGGTGGAGGCCGTTACTACTATGGAGCAAGGACGCTATTAGGTGGCGATCGCTTCTAGGTTGGAGGCCATCGCTAGTAGGATGGAGGTCATCGCTATTAGGTTGTGAAAAGAAGAACAGGATGTGCAACAGGCCTATTTCACACACATGTGCAGAATATTCCTTGCTTGGCTACAAGAATTCCGTTCTTTTCTCTGAAACAATTAAAGAACTTGTAGTGTAATCAAAAAGGTCTCAAGTAACGATGAAAAGAAAAGGTTTAAAGAAAAAGAAACACAAAGGGATTCCGTTCTTTGAATTCCTTGGAGCCCCCGACTTTGGGATCCTTCACGCCGAGAAAAGCGTACTCATCATCAATGGCCTTTCTCTGCTCTTTGGTCCGGTCGTCTGCTAAATCCAAGGTCTGGCAAAACGGGTCGAAGAAGAAGGTGAACAGCGCTTTTAGGTTGGAGGCCTTGAGGGCCTCATGAGTATCGTATGGTGAGAGTTTGTCTACGACAATTGCTTGACTTCATACCTTGTGTTCTAGCATGTCATGTCGCGAGCATGACGTGCTTGCACCCATCAAAAATGATGGGAAGCCTGTGGATTGCATCCTCAAAGAACCCTACAAAACCTGTGCAAGCTCTTCAACACCTTTCCAAAACCACCTCCGAGCTCCATATTCATGCTCCTTTCTCACAAGTAAGGCAACTACACTTGAGAGGTTGTATTTGCCCATCAGATCGGAAACCACTAAGAAATTACAAAACAACAATATAGACAAACACAACAGGGATTGTGGAACCAAGAAACACTGAAGACGGGTTAAGCACAACAAGATTTTTGTGAATCAAGATTGTTTCTCGTCTGAATTTGAGGCTTGGCTTTGAGTTTGACTGAATCGAGACTCTTAAACGCACACGTTTTCTCTTATTCACAAACTACACAAAGATCCTGCCGAAATACAGCAACCCTCCCTGCCCCTGTTGGACGACCAAAAGATTGCTATGTGCTTTCAGCCGGAAAAGGACTGAAACGAGTCCAAGGAACTGAAGTGCCACTACTAGCTTCTTGCTCCTGGAGCCCCTAGTAGCGAACATTGTTACTACTAGTAAGGCACTTGTTACTAGAAGCGATGCACTTGTTCCTACTAGCTTCTTGCTCCTAGTAGTAAGGCCAGGAGCCCCTAGTAGCGTCCGTGCTACTAGTAGGGATGCCCTTTGCTACTAGTAGCGTCCTTGCTCCTAGTGTGGAACACTTTCAACATCTGGAACCTTTTGAAAAAAAAAAGCACCGAATGGGCACCAGGAACTGGGCTATGTTACCTCCGAATTCACTCTGGCCCGTGCAAATCTCCACTCATGGCTGGCTCGCCTTTCGCAACTTCTTGTCCTCGCCTTTCAACTCTGTTGGAATGGCTTTATTCTTGTCCAAGGCCTCTGCAGGGGAGAGAGGGAGAGGGTCCAAAATGTGCCTTGCAAGAACAACGTGCAGATCTCCAACTTGTCATCTGGCGATGTCAGCCACGTTCGAGATTGCCACGGACAACCTCTACATAGGTGAAAGTTTGCTGTTTGGACCTCTCCAAATTGCATGAGGTAGTCCACCGTTTGCATGACACCAGCTACGTGTGCAGAAGTCCATGTCCAGTTTTTTGAACAGGGACAACATGAAGCTACTAGGTGGAGGCCATCGCTATTAGGTTGGAGGCCATTACTACTAGTAACAAGAAGCTACTGTTGTTTTGTTGTCCCAGGGTTCCGAGATCAGTCGTTTCAAGAAAATGAAGCGGCATGGCCGTCCATTGAACGCGCGATCAGTGTGCACCCGTGTTAGCATTGTCCCGGTGCCCCATGAGAACACAGTTCATGTATATCCTTCAAAGTACATTCTGGTCCTGCAAGAAATGCAGAACTTATTTCTTGCACTGCTACACCTTTGTGCATTCCGACGTTCTAGAAGTTCAAGACTTAAAAAGTCTTTACTCAAAATGATCACGCCACCTTCAGTGCGGGTGTGTTTCACTTGCTATGACAAACAATTTGTGCAAGCCATGGGTGACCCCAACATGTCCCACGTATGGTCAAGGCACGCTGTCAAAAGAAATAAGGTTTACGGGCAACAGTCTGGACCAAGTCTCGCTGAAACAAGTATTTCTTTTCTTTGCTTTTCTTTGGCAGAAAGGAAGGGAAGGGAGAAAGAAAGGTTCAAAGTTCAACAGATCCAAAAGCAACAAAGGAAGATTGGAGACAAAAGGGCGGTACTAGTGTGGTTCTTTGCAATTGCACCTTCTAGCTTCGTGGCAAACCAGTCCACGTTGGCAAAGGGTTCACCAGCGGTAGCAAACCAATCCATGTTGATGCACCCTTGCTCCGCTAGTAACATACGGAATGTATCAGAATGCATTGGAGAACTCCCTGTCAGACAAATCTTTGTGTAGAATTCTTTAGAACCAGGAGCCCCTAGTAGTTTCTTGCTCCTAGTAGCGATGCCAGGAGCCCCTAGTAGCGTCCTTGCTCCTAGTAGGGCCAGGAGCCCCTAGTAGCTTCTTGTTCCTAGTAGCTTCTTTATTCAGAATGCAAAACATCTGAAACAAAAACCGTCTCGCACTGATCCCTCTTTCTCAGTGATCCCGAAAATCGACCTGTTTCAGAAAAGAAGAAAGACGTCTAAAGAATGTGTGTGTGTGTGTGTTTGTGTAAGGGGGGCAGGCCACTATAGGCTAGCTAGGGAGGTATAGGTAGCTAGTAGGGAGATGTAGCTAGTACCTATACTCTAGTAACTGGACGCAGGATAGCTCACACACTATTCATTTGGTTTCTAGATGTTTAGGGAAACTTGTCAAATCTGAAGAACGTAGAAATCTTTGTTCTCAAGAATGATGTATTGTAGATGCATCGAATGCGTAATCTCAGTCCTGGAAAGAAGACTGCAAAACGCCACGGGCCTCCTGGAGCTTCCTCTTCTTATCAAATGTTGTGGCTTCTCTATCTTCCAAAGCCTTGCGAGAGCAACAGTTTTGAAACTTCTTAGTAACTAGAAGCTACTGGGCTGGAGGCCATCGCTACTAGTAACAAGAAGCTTTAAGTATGTCTTTGAAGCTTAGCATCGTTTTGTGCTCTGCTCTGCCTTTTTGTACAAATACTCCTTGCGAAGTCGGGCATTGCGACGCAGCATGGCACCCCACTTGCAAGAAGCAACGTCAACCTATTTACCGTGCTTTCAGCTGAGCTCCAGAGATTTCTCGCAGAACTTCCAGAAAACGCATCCATGTAACCATGATAGCAATGGCCTCCAACCTAGCGATGGCCTCCATGATGTCAACCATGCTGTCAACAGATTGATTGGAGGCTCAGATGTTGCTACAGGCTTGGAACCATTGATGTCAGCTGATACACTCTTTTCCTTCTGGTTGTTACCTTGAATGGCACAAGAGATTGGTCTTCGAGTAGGCGACAAGAAGCGTCAACGTGCGCGATCTCATCTTTTTGACAGGCATCACGCGGGTCGCTCCCATTGAGATTGCCCTGTACCTGGCGCAGAACGGCACAACGCAGGTCAAGTTGAATTTCTGCATCAGCTTCCTTAAAGACTGCTGAACTCACTTCTGCTGTCCAAGTGGCTCTGATTGTGGTAAAACACATGGCCTTCTGCTGTTGAGTAGGCCACCCAGCCGGCAGGCAGCTGTCCCCAAGGGTTCCTAGGACCAAGGCACGACAAACATGTCGAAAGTAAGGTTTAAGAACCAGCGAACGACAAGAATAATAGAAAAAGGCCTCCCCCTAAGAGCGATGGCCTCCAACCTTATAGCGATGGCCTCCCCCTAGTAGAGGTCGCATGAATATCACGCATTCCTGTCCTTTCCACTTCCTCCAAAATGATTTCAGCTCAAGACTCTGCCATTGGTTGTCAGCTTCGCTTTCAGCCTTACCCTGTGCTGGAGCGGCTTCAGCTGTCAGTTCACTGTGCTGGTCTTGCCTAGCCTGCTGCTGCTGCTGCTGCTGCTGCTGCTGCTGCTGCTGTGGATAAGAAGCGACGTGACTAGTTTCCTGCTTTTGGTGAATGGCTTGTTGCTTGTCTTGCTGTTGAAGCTCCTGTGCTTCTTGACCTAGGCTTTGCTGCTCCCTGGGCTGCCACCCCAGTGTATCATGCACAGCTTCTTGCCGGTGCTGTTGGTGTGGCGTTGTGTGTTGATATGACTGTTGCTGCTGAAATGGCAAACCTTCTGGTCCATGTGTTCCATGTTGTTGGTGCAGTGTTGCTTGCTGGTCTGGCTGTTGCTGGTACTGAGCTTGTGAGCTATCTTGCCCGTGGCGTTGGTGTGTTGTTTGCTGGTGTGACTGCTGATGCTGCAAAGTTTGCACACCTTCTTGGCTGTGTTCGTGTCCGTAGAGTTTTGCCTGCTGCTGGTAAGACTGCTGTTGCTCCTGATGGCTAAAGTGCAGCTGTTGAGTTTGAGCATGCGACACAAGGTTTTGGCGGTCTTGTGTCAGTCCTGTTTGCATATCCTGCGTTGCTGTGTGCAGCGATCGTTCTTGATGGCCTTGCTGCTGAGAGCGCAAGTCAGTTTCTTGGTGATGCACCCATGTTTGAGGGGGACCGCTTGTGTGCTCTTGTCCTGGTTGCTGTGTTTGACGGCTGCTACGGTTGCTGTGTTGTTGCAACACTTCGTGCTCAGGTGTTTGCTGAGCTAAACCTTGGTTCTGCAATTCCTGCTGCGTTTCTTCGGCAAGAAGACCTCGGCCTGTCCAACATGATTCACGTTAGGCAGCTTAACAGCTAGACTAAACATGAACCGAGAACAAGAAGCCAAGCAGCAGAACAAATTTCAGAAACACATTTCCTCCCGGGGCCTTCTGGCGCCTCAAAGTCAACTTGGACACTTTGGCTTGCAGTGCCAACCTGAACTTCCTGAACTTCCTGAACTTCTGAGTGCCCAACATGCCAGCCATTTGCCACCTTCGCCTGCAATATTCCCGTGTTTGCATAGATGAGTGGCATGAGGCACTAAAACCAACACCAACCTCTAAATTGTTCACACAACCTGCTAGCACACAAAAAAGAAATCCAACCTCCCGCAGAGCAGCTCGTTCCTGTGAGGAAATTGTTCGAAGCCGGAAGCCTCTAAACAACTGCATGCTGCAGCGATGGCATCCAACCTACTAACGATGGCCTTCAACCACTAGCGACGGCCTCCACCCTAGTAGCGATGGCCTCCACCCAAGTAGCAATGGCCTCCAACCTACTAGCGATGGCCTCGACGGCCTCCACCCTAGTAGCGATGGCCTCCACCCAAGTAGCGATGGCCTCCAACCTACTAGCGATGTCCTCCAACCTACTAGCGATGGCCTCCAACCACTAGCGACGGCCTGCAACCTACTAGTGATGGCCTCCAACCTAGAACTATCTTGCATGGCCGATCAAAAGCTCGGCTACAAAACGTTGAGCACTTCTAGCCCTGTGGACTTTGCATTCGTATGGTCGACGAAGTTCTCAGATGGAACGTGTCTGTAAAGTACAAACGGTCTTCCCTCGCGAGCTTGTTCTCAAAGGCGCAAACAAAAATGAAACGTGTTTTGTCTCGTGGCCTCTCAAGCCATAAGCTACTAGGAACAAGTGCATCGCTACTAGTAACAAGTGCCTTACTAGTAGTAACAAGAAGCTATTAGAAACAATAAGCTACTAGGAACAAGTGCATCGCTACTAGTAACAAGTGCCTTACTAGTAGTAACAATGTTCGCTACTAGGGGCTCCTGGCCTAATTAGAATTAAATTAGTGCGCTCTGCATCTCATGCTACGTGTTGCTTCCGTTCTTTGGGTCGGCCAGAATAACGCCTGGCCGTATCAGCCTCTCCAGGCTGTAACGCATAATTGAATTCAAACCCGCCAGAACAATGTCTGCAAATGATGTATAAAGCCAAAAAATATGTGAGGGTTGTTGCTGGTTGTTATTAGTCTATATTTGTGGAGAGGGAAAAATGACATAAGTCGGTTGATATCTTTAAAAGCATTAACTTAAAGAATCCTTGGTGAAAAGCACCCTGAGATAACGGTTGAAAGTTGTTTCTTCTTAGCTGTTCTTACAAGGTCTATGTGGATCAGCCGCAGTCGAATTAGGAAGTCCATTTTGAGTGGCCAGTGTGGGACGGTCAATTCTTGATACCAACGATGTCTTCTTTTTGGGGCCAGGACGATAACAAAAATCAATTCCACGAAGGGGGCAACCGAGTAAACTGAAAATATTGAATAGTATCGCCCCCGTAAATAAAGCCGATGCTTTTTTGCTGGAGATGTTTCAATCAAAGAAACTGACTGATTAGTTTCCATGTTGTTAATTCCTTTGGAATACTTTTGATTCCCCTTTAAACTCTTTTTGAATGAATCCTTTTGGTTCTCATGGTAGATATTCACTGCTTGGATTCTCATGATTTTCACCCGTTGCTTTGTTGCTGCTTTGTTCATATCTCTGTTTCTCTCTCCTTTTGTTCCTTCCTGGCCCCTCTGCTTTCCTTAAGCCTTGCATTTCTCCTTGCTTCCTTCATTGCTTAACTGGTTGCTGCTGTCGTTCTTGCTCTTGACCTTATTTCCTACTTTCGTTACACGCACCACCTCCGCCTCCACCTCCTCCTCCACCTCCACCTCCTCCTCCTGTTCCTGCTCCTGCTCCTCCTCCTCCGCTACCACTTCTACCAACAAAATCTCCAGGTGACAGTTCTGTCAAGTGTGGAACATTTCTGCACTCAGGATTCTGTCCACAAGACCATGTCAAGCACCATATGGAAATCTTTACAAAGTACTTGTACGCATGCAACACGCATGCAACGCGGTAACGTGTCTGAATTTGTCTCCTGCAGGTCCAGCACACTTTGGCTGTGTTTTGCTGCCAGCTCGGAGATCACCTCCACTTCCAGTCACTCAGCGTCTTGTCTATTCTTCTTGGGCCTTCACGTCGTTCACTCTCACGCCTCAGCTTGCTTCCCAACTCGTTCCGCAGCAGCCTCCCAAGCACTCACCTGGGCAGTCCATCAGCTGGTTGACTTGATTTGGATAAGTTTTGAACTCTTTGAGAATCCTCTTATAGTTCACTCTTGCTTGCACACAGAGATTCACTCAAAAGCCTGGCCGGGCCTCCTTTACAGCACTGCTCGGCACGAAGTGGCCCAAGGGCTCCAGAAACCCGGCGGCCTGGCACCGGTGCGCTTCCGAATCCCATCATGCGATTTGCGCAGCACAGGTCGTGAAGTTCACAGCAGAAGGCTAGGGAATTACTGTAACTCAATATTTATGTCAAGAGCGACGCTACTAGGGGCTCCTGGCCTTACTACTAGGAGCAAGAAGCTACTAGGAGCAAAGGGCATCGCTACTAGGAGCAAAGAAGCTATTAGGGGCTCCTGGCATCGCTACTAGGAGCAACTAGGAACCCAGGCATCGCTAGTAGTAGCATTCTTACTACTAGTAACAAGAAGCTATTAGGGGCTACTGGCCGTACTGAGCCTCTAGACCTCTCACCCGCCTCTGGACAGCTGCGGTTGATAAGGCTTAGGACCTGGAACAAAGGCACAGAGGGGTTGGACCATCCAACTAGTGCTTTCGTTTAGTCATGTAGTGATGCGTACATGGTCATCACTTCACAGTACTCCCAACTCCAAATCAGGACAAGGTCGAAAGTCGAAAGTCCTACTAGTGACTTACTAGTGCTTCAAGAGCAGTGCTTCAATTATCTTCAAAGCATTTCATCGGCAATCTTTAGCTCGACCTACAGTCTACGAGTCTATGCGCAAAGAAAAACGAGAATTTCAGCGATCTTTGCAACGAAGTGATAGGAAGCATCTGTGGCTGTGGCAATAGAAGCGGATAGGACAAGCCAAATGAAGCAGATCACGCGGATCAAGAGCATGAAAGTCATGGACGAACCTTCACCTCACCTAACACAGAGGAGCACCTACAAACCGTGAGCAAGCAAAAGCCCGCAGGCGCGGGATGCTTAATCGAGTGGAGAGAAGGTTGCGTCCAACCTAATGGCCATGGCCAAACACGGAAAGAAGGCAGTAGCAATAGGGAGTGGAAGTGGAATATAGAAGAAGGATAAACTAAGAAGCTACTAGGGGCTCCTGGCATCGCTACTAGGAGCAAGGACGCTACTAGGGGCTCCTGGCCGCACTACTAGGAGCAAGGACACTACTAGGAGCAAAGGGCATCGCTACTAGGAGCAATATAGAAGGATAAACTAAGAAGGTAGAAGTGGAGTCTCACTTCAACTTCAGTCTCAACACACGGTCACACGATATAGTAAGAATGCTCCTAGTAGCGCTCTTGCTCCTAGTAGCGATGCCAGGAGCCCCTAGTAGCTTCTTGTTGCTACACACGGTCAATAACAACAATTTAAGAAGCAGCTGAACAAATGAATAAATATATGCCAGATGGAAACGTCGCGTAAGGATAGGCTCAAAGGCTGCACAAATGCCTGCGAATGGAACGTTGCGAAAAGGTTGGAGCGTTCATAAGATATCAGGTGTTTTTGGTAAAGAAGACCACGGCGCGGAAACTCCACTGGATTCCATTTGGAAGGAGGACTGGCGCAGCCAAGTATTCTTAGATATATATTTGAACAATGAATCGTGAGGTATGGCCCATGCCCAAAGAGTTGAAGAATAAACGAACGAGCCAGATAAGAAATAAACATATGTTCATCAACTGGTCAATCCGATCTGTGCCTTCAGGAGCTCATCCCTTTCTGCCGCAGCAGACAAAGGGGCGCTCCCTTCACTTTCGAAACAAAGCTTCTCCTTCCGTGTCAACAATATCAATGAGCATCTGTTCATTTCTTCTGTTGTCATCCTTCTTTTCAATAGTTTGCCCTACTGATCTAGCCTCTTCATCGCGTTTGAGGGTGTGTTTTGGTTGCTGCGTCACCTTCTTCGACATTTCTGCCTCATCCAGGGCCAAAGCCAAGACCTCCAATGTTCGAAGTCCAGCGAACTCAAACCATCACTCTCGAACCCTTAAACCGTGTAGAAACTGTCTGTAAACCCTATAAGATCGTCTAAAATTCAGTGCTCTGCACATGGCATTTGAAGCTGCTGCGCCTGGAGTTGCTGTTCCAGCTCCTGAGATTAGAAGGGAGGGCGAGGGAGGGAGAGTAAGGGAGGGGAGACGTTTCCGTCACAATGAAAAAGTGTTGAGACAAAAAGAACTCGACGACGGCGTCGCCCGAAAGCACAGTAAAAGTCACATAGGTATAACGGATGTTTAACGACGACATTGTGGTTGGAGTAGCTCTACACGTTTTAATGTCTGAAGCATTCATGCATTGTATCTGGAACAACAATGATGATGAGGATGATGATGATGATGATGATGATGATGATGATGATGATGATGATGGTGAGGAGGAGGAGGAGGAGGTGGACAACGACAATGACCATTATGATCATCATTACGGTAATGCTGATGATGCTGATGACGATGGTTGGACAGTTCATGCCTTGACCCTTGACAGTTGATCTTTGGACAGTTGGAGTTGGCAGCCGTTCTTTGAGAAGACCTTTCGCAGTACTTTCAAAAAAGGAAAACTCTGGAAGCATCAAGGCAAAAATACTTGCTAGTAGATGGAGCAGTGAAGAAGACACCATTGCTTTCAGCCCGTCTCTGTTTTCCATGTTTGAAAGTGTGACAAATGGCCTCCAACCTACTAGTGATGGCCTCCAATCTTGTTCTTAACAAGCATTCTTGTGATTTTTTGCGTGTTCTTTGTAGCTAGGACCTCCACTTCCGTCCTTGCTTGAGCTCGTCTCACCTCACCTTTAGCGTTCTCTCTGTATTCATTATCCGGCTTCCGCTCACTGAATCTCCTCCCGTTCTTGCCGATTGATCTGGCGTTCTCGCAACCTCGCGACCTGGGTTCATTGGTCCATCTTCAATCCCGATGACTCCCATTGAAGACGAAGATCCTTTCAAAAGGTTTGATTCAAACATATATATCGTAAAAAGTTGTTGCGGTGTTGCTTTTTGTTGCCTAAGGAGAACCAAGTCCCCCTTCTCCTTTCTTTATTTTTCGGTTGAGTTTTTGAGCTCCGAAGCTCTGTCTTCATCTGTCTTTTGAGTCGCCTCGACAGAGCTTCGACCAGCTTCAAGGAGGTCACACCTGGCTCGGAGACAGGTGAATATGAGAAGAGTAACAAGAAGCTACTACAGTAGGGGGTCCTGGCCGTACTACTAGGAGCAAGTAGCTACTAGTAACAAAAAGCTAAGGGGAGTTACTAATGGCGATGGCCTCCACCTGGTCAAAATCACCTGGTGATTTGTACCCTTTCTTGAATGAGGTCTACGGCTAGACCATAGACCATTGGACCATCGAGTTAGTGCCAGTTTCGACATTGACATGACTGTTTCTTGCTTTTTTGCTGTTGCATGCTGTGTGTTCATTCGTGTTCTGTGTTGTCTCAAGTCCTTTCTCCGGGCTCAGGTACTGTTTTAGGTACTGTGTTGATCGATTCCAGGTTCCAGACTACAGAAAAGCTAGGAGAGGAGAAGCCAATGGCCTTGGGTGCACCAGCACCCAAGGCCATAAAGAACTCTACAACACAAATGTGTGGGGTCACGCATTCAGAATGTGATTAAAAACTCTCAGGATTGCAAGAGAATGTTGAGAACCGAGCTTAACTTGCAAGGCTTCGCACTGCTTGCTGAGGGCAGCCACCTGTCTGACAAAGAAAACTTCAGTCAAAGACGTGTGAACTGGCGGGTTGAAGCCGGACGACCTATGCAGAAAATGTATGAAACAAAGAAATAGATCTAGCGGCGGCCTCCAACCTACTAGGGTGACCTCCAACCTATGAAGCAAAGAAAAGAATCGAAAAATGTGCTTCATTGAAGAAATCCCTAAATGTTCTCTTCGGGCACCTTCCAAAGGAGGAGAGTCTTGTCTTCATCTGTGGTGAGTTTGCGCAGCTCCATGTTCTCGGTCTTGAGCACTTGGACCTCACATCTTGGGCACCAAAAGCGCAGAAAAGGAACAGCGAGCCATGCTGTCTTTCTGTTGTGTGCAGAAAGGGGAACACCTACCAAATGGTCGTTTTATGCTAGTAGTAACAAGGAGCTACGAATGGGGCTCCTGGCATCGCTACGAACGGAGCGATCGGGCTCTACCAAGCACGCAAGACAAACCGAAAGTTGGAGAGGCCACGGGAGCGGGCACCTCCGATAACACTGTTAGATCCCTGTCTACAAAGCGGAATGCTTCTTTCAACGTTCAGGAATCCATGTTTCCTAAGAAAGAGGACAGATGGAGAACGATGGCCTCGTCTCGCAGCTCGCGGAGTTCCTTGTCCTGCATCTTGATCAAGTCCTTAAAATGCTCCGCCACATCCTGCGGTGAAAACAGGAAGAAGCTACGAACGGGGCTCCTGGCCTTACTACGAACGGAACAATGTTCGCAACTAAACCCGGGTTGATTTCACAAACTTCGCACACACTTGGCGCGTGTTTCTTCACTTCGACCCAGTCGTTTTCTTCACTTCGTTGGCGTTTAGTCCATGGTTGCCTACCAAAATCCTATGTTCGATTGAATGCCCGAACATCTTCCCTTTCCGCTCCCATGTTTTCTCCAAAGCTCAATTAGTGTCCTCAGCTATGCCTGAAACACTCTGACGGCCACGATCGAGCCAGATTCGAACCTTGGTGCATTCTGCCTCTCCAAATTGTGTCGTTAGTTTACCCACCAGCTAGAAACCGTTTTGATCATGCGATGAAGGGTCTTCTGTGTCCTTGCTACTACGTTCTTCTCGTGTATGAAAAGAGCTACGAAGCAGTGACAAACCCCCACTTTGTTTCAGACTGGATTCGGATCAAAGATATGCCACTGCTGCAGGAGCATCCCAACTCCGCAGTGTTTTCAAGCCACAAGATCTGCAGGTCTACCTGTTTTTCTCTCCCTTCTAACACCCACCTCGCATGAGCCAGAAACTTGCCAGAAACTGGCCAACACCACAACATAAGATTAAAAACACAAAAGAACTGTTTTGTTGGCAAAGAAGTGTCGTCTTACTGGCCACTGCAAACCCAAACTTCAACTGATTCCTTACAGGCAGACCCAGAAAGTTGCCACGCCAAAGCTTAAGATTCCAAAATCTCTTCCACAACTTTATGGCCACACCAAAGCCCACCAAAAAACAAACAGCACGTCTTGGCCACAGCGAAATCCAATTGAGATTCCACTGGACAACGCAACTTCAAGCACTCTTTCCTGACCAAACTAATTGTGTCACTATTAGTGGGAGGCCATCGCTATTATGTTGGAGGCCATTGCTACTAGGGTGGAGGCCATTGCCAGTAAAGCCCAAGATTTCACGGTCGGGCTCTGTCACTTCCCTTTCTGTCATCGGGCTCTGTACGTTACTGACTTCACCACAGTGAACTTGTCAAGACTTTGTGCACCTCACGCAGCCCTTATACAGTTGTGTGCAATTCAAACACCTCCAATGCGCACCAAGCACTGCCCATGCACCTCCGTGGGTACAGCAAAGTTCGCACCACTTTACACATTTGACTTGTCACCAAAAGCGCGCCTTCAAAGAACGCTGAAACGGCAAATCTCCACACAGGCGGCACAAAATACATACCGAGCAAAATCTGTGCGAAGAATGAAGCACATTTATAGCACACACCATCAAAAGTCACGTGTCCATCGAAGACCTTGTCAATGCAGAATGGGCAACACCACGCGGACACGCAAAAACTGTTTTGCTACCAACATGCTTCTGGCGAACACGACCCAACCCCCAAGCCACCGAGAATAGGCAAGAAGCCTCGCTGAAAGAAAATTCTGAGATACTGGGACGCTGACCATTGCATCTTGGGTTTTCTGAAACTGCAAAGTCGCCCATTCCTGGAAGCCTCAGAAACGGATAGAAACGGTGCATTGTCCAATCGTATTTGTGTTTTCGTTCCACTTCATTCTCTTGTTGGTTTTCTCTCTTATCCTGTACTCGACAAAACCCTGCATCCCAACCTGGCCAGTAGCGCGTTGTGGCCTTGCGAAACTTCAACATGGGGAAACATGTAGCCGCAAACAAAACATAAACTAGTAGGTTGGAGCCAGCGCTATAGTGGGTTGGAGGCCATCGCTAGTAGGTCGGAGGCCATCGCTAGTAGATTCGAGGCCATCGCTAATAGGTTGGAGACCATCGCTAGTAGGTTGGAGACCATCGCCAGTAGGTTGGAGGCCATCGCTAGTAGGTTGGAGACCATCGCTCGTAGG